GTGGTGCTAAAGTCGGTATATCCAGAAAACCCTTATTTATATTTCGACTGAGTTGAAATGAGACAAAAATGGATCCGCAAGGTGCTGCTGAATTCCGGATATTAAGAAAAAGTTCCTATTTATGGTCCGATTGTGACAGTTTTTTTTGTAAGGCCTATTGTAAGATAGATCTACGTGACACAGGGTGGGCTGTTAGTAATATTTTAAATTTAATTGCATACAAAGATTTGTTTTAAATACTAAGCATTTCTCACTGGAAAAAAAACATAGCGTACCTATAACATTAAAATAACTAAAATATTCCTTATATTTATTTTAAGTAATTAGTTTTACAATTCGTATGACTTAACGACTAATACAACAATTAAAAGTCTTGTTCATAGGCTGCATACACTCTTTCTACACATGCAACTTTACATAGACTCATTTGCACTTAACCGTAACTGGAAAACTGCAGGTGGCAGTATTGTTTGAATTAAATTTGCATTTTGTCCAGTCTCGTCAAATTACACACAATACATCTATTCAGCCAAAGTTATACATATCATACATATGTTTGTATGTACTTAAAATACTGTAAACGTATGTATGTATGTACGTCTACAAATAATTAAAATACCACCGTGTTGAATCATTTTCTTTTTTATATGAACCACTTTGCTGCTGGTTTGTGTTCGCAAACTTTCGAAAAACTTTTATTGCCTATAACTTTATTAATTTTACTTTGTATTGCAAAACTTCGAAGTTGGTACTTGAAGAATGCTGACTTTAAAACACTTTTCTCCAACTGCATAATAACGGTAATTTTATTTTTAAATTTTTTATTTTTTTAAATTTTATTTTAATATTTATGCATCCTTTGTAGTTGTGTTAGCACCGTGGCATTCATATTTGATTAAGTATTCTTTCTCTCACTTCTTATTTTTTGTAATATTCATTTTCATTGATTACTAACATTTCTAAATACATAATTGTTTTTGTTGTGCGTCGCATAATAAATGCTGGGATTTGATTATGAGTTTCTAAAAACTTATTTATGTATGTATGTAAGTAAGTTTGTAACCTCATAATGGGTATAAATTATGGGTCATCCAACTTCCGGAGGTTATTTATCACTACTTAATTTTTATCTATGTATGTATGTATGTATGTATGAAGGTATGATTTGTATCTATATGCATTTCATTTCTCTGCTCAGTAATTACATACATATGTATGTATGTACAGTTGCGGTCAAAAAAGGATGAATGATGTTTAGTTTTTAATATTTACAATGTTTTTCAAGCTAAAATTTTTTGATATTTTTTTATAAAAATATGGTTCATGATTTAACAAAAACTATATAAATCACACTTTCAAACTTTATACAGTACTTAGAAAGATTCCACAAATTTTTATCTAAATTTCGAGCTTTTTGACCAGAATTTTTAGAAATGTTTTAGGTATACAGTTAACAAGGTTATAAAATTCTTATAAAATAACTGCAAGTTTTGAGCGGCTAAAAAATTGCATTGATTTAAAAAAATTTTTTTTTGCTGACGGCTTTTAGGTTTTTTTCTTCCATATAAATAGCGAAATTTAGGAAAACTACGCGGTCTTGCGCATATTCTTCATGTTTATATGGAAAAAAGTGCAAAAAGCTGTCAACAAAAAAAGAAGTATTAAAAATCAATGCAATTTTTTAGCCGCTCAAAACTTGCACTTATATTGCTAGAATTTTATAAGCCTGTTAACTGCATACCCAAAAAAATGCTAAAAATTCTGGTTAAAAAGCTCGAAATTTAGATAAGTTCTATATAAAGTTTGCAAGTGAGATTTATACAGTTTTTGTTAAAGCATGAATCAAATTTTTATAAAAAAAAAAATCAGAAAAATATTAGCTTGAAAAACATTGTAAATATTAATAACGAAACACCATTCATTCATTTTTGACCGCCACTGTATGCTCGTATGTACGCATGAAGGGGGGTGTGCATCTTTTCTAACTGCCATAAAATTGAAATTGTAGATGCTTACTTCTGAACGTCGCTAAAGATGAGGATCAAATTTGAAGGAAATAAATTCAGTTCTTGAAAAGCAAAGATTATTATTTTCAACCTTAGGAAAGCTAATCGTCACATACCTATGTATGTATCCTGTGTAAAACCACAGCGAAAGCACAAAGTGTAGAATAGTGGCAGACTCGTTGGGATATCACAACAAAGGGCAGGTGGACTTATCCGGCTCATATCGAAAATTGACTCCTGATTCAATAGGCAGCATGAAGAGGTAGATTACTAACTGATGTCTGCCATATGGCTGCCCAAGTGGTAAAATACCTCCGACACAACCCGTAATGACAGCTAGAAAGGTCATAGGGAAAGCCCGTTTTCTTGAAAAGTTGACGAATATAGAGGGCAAACCTCTCAAAAAATATAGTGGTACAAGACAAAAAAAGGGGTGGGTTGGTTAACACCAACCAAGACAGACAGTGGAACAGCATGATCAGTAACAGACATAGAGGTTAACGCTCGGCCCGCCTCCCGACGGTAGGAGGTTTAGTGGGTTAAATTCTCACACTGACGGGGTTAGGCTTTCGATGCTTCCTCCTCTGAAAACAAATACTATGCATAAAATTGCTCCCAAACAAAAAAACAGCCGGCTTGGGGAATACAAGCGGAATTTCACAAACTTTGAACATTTTAGGATAGGCTAGGTTATCTTGGTTGTTCTTATGCAGTACAGGAAACTATGAGCCCATTGTGATGCCATATTAAAGGCTTCTTACGATACCACTCTTACCTTATAAGTAAAACCAATTTATAGCTCTGATGAAGCGCACAAAGTCGGAGATATAAGCTGAATCCAGTTCAGCCAAACGTTCAACAAATTAGTTGAGGAACAATCGTCGATGTTATAGCTAATGCTCTACGCTTTAAATTTCCACTACATATGGCAGCTACGACAGCAGTCGTTTGACTGCATACCCATTATCATAGCGTGTGTTCCTCTCAGGCCGTGCCGTGGTGAGAACTCCAATTACATGTCGTAGCAGTGGTTGATCCAGGCCTTCTTTCTGAAATGAGCAACGCGCTACACAAAGAAGCTATGGCAGTAGGCCTTTGAAACTTTAAAAAGAACAGGGTTCTAAGTATGCCAACGAAGTCTTGTGACGACGCGTTTGTTTCCGACTAAACTCTTAAGACTGTGAGGAATTTCACACACCTTGGCAGGGAAGTTGCCCTCAATGTCAGCACGGGCGATGACATTGACCGCCGAATAAGTACAGCCAAGGCGGCATAGGCTTTTCAAATCGAATGTGCTGTACAGACTTCTATATGGCAGTCCCACCTGGAAAGCGACTACTGCAACAACGAGGTACCTTCAAGTTCTCGTAAAAGAGGTCTCATAATTATAATCCGAATTTTTGGCCGAAAACAATCTCAAATGTGGCTTTGTTCAAAAAGGTTAGCATGGAGCCCCTGTACATCTGTTTTCGAATATAGAAATGGAAGTGGATAGGCGACGTTTGCGCAAAAACGACGGAAATATTGCAATGGAGGTCTTGGAATGCAATCCCCTAATATCCAGAGGCCGGTAGACCGGGCGAAACATGGAGAAGAACAGTCGATAGAGAGGCGCTGCAACTTGGATTAAGCTGAATGGAGCTCAAAGCCGTTGCCAGAAACAGAAACAGATGGCCAGAAGGCGTAGTAGATGTACTGTGTCTCGCTTTGAACTTCTTCGGGACTCGATCAGGCTTTGGTTTCCAACATAAAGCGCGTATAGTTTTTATCCTTTGCACTCATCGTACTTTCTTTTATTAAGTTACTTCAAGGACTTAGGCGGCTTGGATCAAGGGAGTGCTGCCTAGACGAAGAAATACGTTCAAGCCTGTGATTCGAAAATATTTTCATGGCAATGAAGTGGGCAATAAATATCAGGAACGAAAGCGCGAGCCAAATTTCTTTAAGGTCGCGCAGGATGTGGCTACAGAGATATTCAGAAAAACGACTTTTTAAAGCTCTCTGTAGATTTTATATGGGCGCGCATAGAGTAAAAGCTCTCTCTGAGCATCACTGGTCATGAGGAATGCAAGAAACCAATAACAGCGTAAATCATTTGTTTCGCTCGGGAGGCGGGCTTTATAGAACGATAAAGAAAAGAGAAAAACTTCGGACTTGCTTTGCCTTAAGAAATACACACTTATCTCCAAGAAAAAGCTTTGTTCAAAAGCTTAAGGTTAGTTAAAGTTTTGTGCGGGAAGGAAATCAGACAACGAATTTGACGTTTCAAAGACTGAAGATAAGTTTCATTTATGCACCCAAAAAACTCAAAAAAGGTGAGATCTAAATACATATTTTATTAACTAGCAGCGTTAGCAGAGTTTCGAGATCGTATGCCTCATGTGTAAATACAATATGCGTATGTAGTACTTGCAACTGAAATGATTTTATAATGAAATCTAAAGCTTTGTCCAGTAACGATTTTCCTACTTGCTTACTTAGAACACTCATTACATAACTAGACTAGGACATATTGTACAAACATACAGACACCCAAATTTGTTTAATGTAAAAAAAAGAATTGCTTGGGTTTTCTGCGATTCGATCGATGCCTTAATTTGTGGCTTAAAATTAGTCGTAAAAAAGTATAGTTTTGTTCTTCTTGTGTTTTGTTTTTGCAAACTTTACAAAGATCATTCCATAGAGACGACACAATAGTAGTATTACACACATACACATGTAGTATGTAGTAGTAGTAGTAGTAGTAGTATACGGGTAAAAACTTACATACGAAATTTTTGAATAAAATTCAAATGCATAAAAACAGGTGAATCGGGTCGGTCGTACACGTACTAAGTATGTATGTAGTTTTAAATTATGTATGTAGCTTTGTTGCCTTTCGATTTCGCCCATTCAAACGAATATACGAATTCTTGTTAGGCTTAGTATTATGCTGAAGCGTTCCGGGCACAATTCTGCGCGATTTTGTATATTTCCATCGAAAGTGGTCAGACTGTGGTCACACGATCGATTTCGACATATCGCACAGAATTGTCGCTTTGTCAGCAAATCACCTCCTTCTCATCCAACACGGCCGTATCCATAGAACTAAGCGATTTGAGGCGCGTCTGCAGCACTGATGAACCGCGAAACTTGCGCTTGATTTTTCTGCAATGGAAAGCAAAACGCCTAAATGAGATTTTTCGTTTGTCCTTCGGAATGGATGGTGCAAAACGCTGCTCTACTCACTTGTATGCGAAAGCGGCAAAGGCGCAACACAGCAACACAATGATGAGACACAAAGTGGCCAATATCTCAGTGGGTAGTTTCATGATGGCCGAACATTGTAGGAAGGTCTCATCGTCACCGGAGGGGCAGTGTACAATGCCGTCGCACCAAACGCTAGCGTTAACGCAAGCTCCCAGTTCGGAGCATTTGTACTGACAGTCTTCTGCAAAAGGTTGATGTGAAAATAAGTTTTCGAACAAAACGGAAGTAAGCAGCTTAGTTATCTGCTTACCTGCTATAGTCAGTACTGGTCTAGGAACCAATTCCATCCAATTGAATGTAAAGTCACCATTCTCAGGACGCAGATACTCAACGCTAATGGCTTTGGAACGATTCGCAATCGAGTAAATGGGACGCTCATTCCAGCCAGAGCTGAAAATTTCTACAAACTCGTAAGCTTTTGAGTCGGGCGATAGCGGGCAAGCGGTGATGGTCAAACCTAGATGAGAAAGACAGACTTTTAATATAAGTTTATTAAAAAAAAAGCTTGTTGGGTAAGTTAGAAGTACTCTAAGTTTACTTTAGTTTACTGTAACTCCCTTCCCCCTTACTTACCCTCGGAAGTTGTTAGCACGACGCGAGCTTTGGTTTCGCACCGATATGAGCTTGTGCCCACTATGGTGGTATTCATTGCTTTTTTGGGATTGTATTTACGCAGGAATATGGCTTTAAGGCGCACATAGAGAAATTTGTTGCCATTCGAAGGTTCAATCAACCAGGGTCGTGTGCGGCATTCCATCTGCGAATGTTAATTGGCAGGAGATTAAAAATAACAACAATAAGTACACCATTAAAAATACCCCCAAGCAATTCATACTCACATCACCGAACGTCATCTGTATAGTGCCACTTGGACCGAATTTCCGTCGTCCATCTTTGCAGTTTGCTGGTCCCTTGATGAATTCGAACATGCCTTCGAAGTTTATGGCATCCGGATCGTCAAGTGTGGTCATATTTATGGCGGTAAAATGCACTTCAAGATCACGACTTGTAGAGGTGTATTCCACAGGCAGATGCGATGAGTTCGACGAATTGCAAAGGCAACCGCGCGGCAGTAAAATCGAATCGTGGTATGGTCGTTCGAAGATCTGGAAAATTAGAAGTGTTAGTAGTTATAGTAATGAAATGAGAGCAAATAATTACTTAAGTACATTTCTTTTTAGAAGTACAAAACTAGAAGTAATGCCTCGTCCAGTAAGGCATTCCAGTTACTTCCGTAATGTAAACCGTCACTGGCATGAACTCATTACAGCAAAAAGTTCGTGCCAGTTACTGGAATGCCGGTCTAGCATTCATGTCCAAATATAGATTACGATACTAGGAATTTGGTCATCAGCTCACCGCCATGGCGAGCCATAGAGAGCATATAACAGGCGTATCAACTTGAGGAAATATATTATATGTGACATTTTTTCAAGAAAAGTTTTCTAGTGGTTGGTCCCAGCATCAAAGGTTCGAAGCAACTCACAAGTAGTGTACTAAGGAGTTCAAATAACACAATGTAATAAAGCCTAAGTAGGTCCAAGAAATCCCATTGACTCAGATTATTCAATCCCAGAAACCTCGAGACCAAATATATGCCTATTAATGATGTTCGTTTTTGGCAAGTTTTAAAGAAGTCCAAGTAGGAGGTCAGAAGAATGGCTGCTTCGAAACTCTAGAGTTTTTGTTGGACGTTCTCATTTGTTGAAGAAGCGATATGAGGAAGACAATTTAGAAATAACAACGGAAGGCACCGCAGCAGGTGTTAGCATTCCAGCTATTTTACTCAGCTGTTATTTCATATGAAAAAGGAATCGTTGGATAGGGCAAACATCGAGGGACCAGAAGACTGCACTACCTCTGAAAATAACGTGTGACTCTTATTTTAGCTTCTCTGACCATTTCGGACATGGGAAAGGCAGTACTAATACCCCGGAAACCAGCAACATAACTCTCCCTTCCAAAGTGGTAAAGATATTTGAGGCCGTACTACTCCCGCATTTCACGTGCATCCGGACCTCCGCTAGGCATTAACCGTAATCGACTCTTCTAAAGAACTACTCTTGTTGCGCTGGACTTGTCCAAGCTTTTAGTGCTGTTTGTCATTCCACGGCACTAGATGACATTGAGATATCTTCTATAATTTAGGGACTAAAATAGTAAAGGGACCTCGAAACCTCAAGCCTCGAAACTCAGAGAAAATAAGAAGGGGTCCCACAGGGTTGTTGTTTCCCACTACTGTTAAACTTCAATATGCTATGCTAACGAATGCTCAATATTATCGCCTGGCAATGGAATTGATGACTTGTGCTAACTTTCTTCTATAAAAGACTACTGTTTTCACAATAGCAATTAACAGTAAAGTACAGCGCCGCAGCAAGATCCTCAAATCGCTCGCTGACAGTACTACGGATTAGGCAGAGAGAAGTTGTTGTCGACAAATAAGATAGTGGAAAGCCGGTTTTAAATTACGCTGCGTCTGTTTGGGTTAAGTAGGGCTCAGTCAAAGAATCTTCAGACTTGACAGATCAACGCACTCTGGAGAGAAATGGGTGCTTTTATTACAAAGCTTCCTCATTCATCTGAGGAAGTTTTATTGATCTCCAACGCCGACGTTTTACCGATATTAGACATCAACGGGACGTATTATGATGTCGCTTGCATGATTGCTGCTGCAGGTTGTATCTTTATGAAATAAAGGACGAGATTCACACTTATTTAGCAACATTACTAGACCGGACGTTGTGCAAAGTGCCTGTACTCTAGCCTCGTGAATGCCGTAGTAAAAATAGTAACCATCAGTCCTTATACAATCTCGATCCAGATATACCCAACACATGTCCGGCTTGTGAAGACCAACCATATCTTCACTTGCCCTTTAAACCCCTCCAATAATGTATAATCCCTAGTTTAAGCAATTATGAAAGAAAAAATGCAACCGTTTACCTTATAGAGCCTTTCTATAATCTTTTTTTTTTTAAACAGTTCTAATTGAAAGAATGCAATCGCTGACCTTACCACCAACGTGCGAGGCTCCGCATTTCTAGAAGGAACGACTGGAGATCCAGCTGGTTTAAGAGCATGCGGGAATCAGTACCAAATTAGGCTGCTGCGGCCTGTTGTGCAATTTTTTGAGAACTCCTGAACTCTTAACCCATTCTAACTAATTATTGCACAAAATGTTTAATATAAAAGAACTCACCTCAATACGCGCATTTGTGTCACCGTAACAAAATGAACGATTTATGTCCTCATCTACGCGTGACATGCATGGCCGATTCAACGTAGTCACCTTACGCAGCTTGATACGTATACGTTCGCCCCGTTGGCCTTCGAATTTGTATATACATTTCAAGTTACGCGTACCACCACGCCCGAATAGAAATATATTGCGCACACTACGAAAGATGGCTGGATCCTTGCGATCCATAAGACTACTGACAAATTTACGACTACAGTCGTTCTCGCCACCAGCCAGCGGTAGACCGTCCTGATGCAAGTCGATGAACTCGTACTTCAGTTTAAACTCCAGCGGACTGAAAATGAAAAAAAAAATTGAGTGATGTAACGCATCGAAAGGCGGGGATTAAGTAAGATCTTCCATTTCTACACACCGCAGCACAGTTGACTCAGTGTTCTTAAGCTCCAACGTAATGCTGTCGCTGCTCGACACATAACTTTCAGAAATCGTACAGGGACGCGCGTAGGTCTCGTTGATGTTGGAACGATCGCAGGTGCGCGGTATGGTACCACGGCAGAAACGTGCAATAACATTGGTGGAATTTTGCGTGTAATGCGTGAGCACCGGATGTGAGGGCATGTCGCTTGCGCTAGAAAAGAATACATAAACATTTTCCCAAACACAACTATTAAGTGAACTTACCAATTGAGATCTTTACATGCGGGTGGCTCCCTCAATGCACCATCCCAGATACGTAGCATGCCAGTACAATCCTCATGCGTTTGTAGTACACCAATCGCGCCCACAGAGGTCTCATCAATTTGCCCAAATTCGGGATCCAAATTGAATTTCATCATTGAGATCCACACTTTAAAACGTGAAAGTGGCTGACTCATGCCCTGAGCGCTGGTCCGACGTGACAAGCTCAAGTGATCGAAGGTCTTGAAGACACCCATGCCTTGTAAGTGGTAAAGACAGGTGGTGTTAGGCGCCAACGAATGTTTAGGGTTCTCAAGTATTCCCCGACCAGCGCCGCGTATCCAAAATTCGCAAGGCTTTTTATTTTTCGAATAGGTCGGGCTCATTATGTCGACGAAAATCACCTCGACCTGCAAATAAAACATCAGTGGTTGAGTGAGTTTCTTTTTAAACATCAAAGATGCTTACATCCAATTGAAAGCCGTAGAGTGGCAGCACTTGTGAAGATGTGCCCGTAAATGTGCCAAAAGGCGATGTAGTAAATTCCACCAGCAACTCTGGTCCACTAGAAACTGCTGACGGTACTGCTTGTCCGCCGCCACAAAATTTCAATACAATTGGGTCACGTGTGGTGTAGCCATCGTAGACGGTCACATAGTCCTGCAAACATAATGGAAGTAAGTCAATGTTGCAATGCAAGTATTGGAGTTGGAAAGTAATTAAAGATATTGCGATCGATTGGGGGTGGCAAAGTGACTAAACACATTAAAGTCTTGTTCAAGAAGTTATACTTGGGTGGATAGCGAGGTGGGGGAAAAGTACAGTAGTTGAGCCTACAAGGCGGGGGAGAAAACCTTAAAACTAACTACTTGCTACAAATTTAATTATGTACTATCATAAAAGCGTGTAGTAAGTATTTTTTGTGCTGTAAGGGAGAAGTAAAAGAAGCGAAAAGAAGAATTTCCGGTTTTTTAGTATGCGTGAGTCTTCAACGTAGAACAGGTTGGCTATGTGTTTGAAAAAATACCTAAAATTAATAAATTTTCAACTAATTGTAATTCAACATTGTTTCAGAAAGAAGACTTTTCGTACTGAAAACTAAACCTACACTGAAAACATATTTAAATATAAATAGCATATTAATTAATACCTTAATCGATGTGTTTACTGACATAAGCTTTGCTGATAAAATTCTGTGTAAACCTACATAACCGTAACGTGGCCCAGCTGAATAAGGCTATACATTTTAGGGAAGAGTAAGCTTATAATTTCTCGAGAGCACGGCATTCTAGTATTTGCTGTCCTTCTAAGAAAAACTATTGATAGTTGAAGAGGACAACGACGAGCTAAGACTTTTCGCCTTCTATTACCTATGTATGTATATGGAGAACAATGCTGAGACGCCACCCAGACAGAGTCCTAGAAGTCGATAAGACTTATATCCAGTGAAAATGTTGAGATGTCAACGGAAATTTTTTCATTTGCCCTTCAAGAAATAGACGCACATCTAAGCCACCATAATAGAAAAAGAAAGAATTTGAGGATGGAAATGTGAAGGCAGTCACTTGCATTTGAAATATTACCGGCCTATTAGCCTCAATTTGTTTATTTAAAAAAATGTCTGAGAGGCTACTCGGCTTAAAAGTATATATACTAAGGAAAGTACTTCACCACGTGAAATATTATCTAATCTACTGCCTGTACCATGGGCAAATATAAAAAGCCATACATCGCGGAGGGTATGCCTTTAGTTTCCTCCATAGATATCCAGAGAGCCTAAAATAATATCCTTCCAGTGGCCTTGTTGGAGGTCTTAAGTCTATTTTTGTAAGTCGTGCCATTCATGAATGGATTGGACATCATTTGAAATATAAAACGATAATGGCTGAGTCGGTCTCTTCGGTAATTTCAAGGAAGGCTATCAGAGACACTCTACAAGGAGTCGTTCTGTCCAGGTTGATGTGAAAATTAGTGGCCAAGAAACTTTAATTACAAATGAAAATTGGGGGGAAGGGAAGGAAGTCAGCTGCATATGCATCCGTCATCATAAGGGGAAAGGGTACTAAAAGCAAGAAGTACTTAATATTATTTTCAACCAGCCTTGAGTTACCCTACAACTGTCAATGGCCTAGTTATGTGTACGACAATATATAGAAAGATTGGCGCTGACACATACAGTTTTACGCCGACTCCGAACGGCGACTGTATTTTTATAAGAAGCTGTTTTTCATGGCAGAAATACACTCGGAGGTCGCCGAGGGGCGACCACTGTTAAAAAACACCTTTTTCTATATATATTTGCATTGTTGCTTTGGCTAGGGCTTGAACCCAGGCACTGCAGAGTGGAAGCGCGCACCGCTTACCACTACGCCACAGCGGTGTACGACAATGCAGAACAAAAAATACGGGTAACTATGGTACCACTCTTACCCAGATATATTAAGCTCAAATCAGTAGTGTTTGAAAAAAAATTCCCGGTAGAGCTTTGCAGCAAGGCAACTTGGAGTACCTCCTTTATGAAGAGACTTATAATATCTAGTAAAATCCAGGTTGAACTCAAGGCAATCCCACCATTTGAGCCTAAATTCTTTTTGGTACGTGAGTGCACTGATGGGCTTAAGATCCTAGCGGAACACAATGTTATTCAGCTAATTTGGGTAGCATAACACATAAGGATTGAGGGCAACGAGGAAGCAGATCATCTAAAAAGAACAGCAGTTGTTGTTTCCTCATGAACGTACATATCCGCTAACACTTGCCTGATGTGACATAGAACGGTAAATGAAGAAGATGACACAACGCCGAAACCGGTTTGTCTCCAAACCAAAGTTGACAAGGGATGACAGAAAATCATTCATTCCTAGCACAATCATTGAAGAGCTGAGGAAGGTGAGGAAGAAACTCAGATAACAATACTGGCGTAACACCGTAAGCACACTCCGATATTAATGCTTACTGGGCCGCTGCAACCTTATAAGATACAAAGAACTGCGAAAAGGTTGCAACAGACGGAAAAGTGCTGAATTCATTTCACATTTCAAACTTATGAACGCTATGTGAAACATTTTATTCTTGCATCGATTCTGCTCGAATAGTTCAAAGAAGATTTGTTCCCGTTTGTTTTTTTCCAAAACGTTCCGTAGACTTTTTTTTCCCATTTTGTTCTTCTAGATATGTTCCCGAAAATAACGTTCGCAGTTTGTTCTCTTTGGAAACGTTCCACAGGGTTTTGTTCTTATATAATTCCCATTGAGGAAGTTCTCAACAGTTTCGTTCTCATTTTAGTTTTGGTTTTGAAGCGTTATTGGGAACAAAACTACGAGAACGACATTTGGTTTCGATCACACCCTTTGTTCTTGGTCTCTGGATTTCACATTGATATGTTTATTCCGTTTGTTTTGTAAATATATCTAAGTAGTTAGGAGTTAAATACCGTAAATGTACATATTTTCTATATTTAAAGTAGTGCACCGTAGCCTTAAAATCGAAGTTAAACTAAAAAAATATGAAACTGAAGATGTTTCCCATCAAATAATTACTTTCAGGAGTCTTATGACTGAGCGTGCAGGGTATCTATCAAGCTAAACTAGACACTAAGTGCCATTTTCTAATGTCGGGTTTAAAATTTATCTGCCCTTCAACCACATTTTTTTCAGAACAAAATTTGTGTTTAAAGGACAGATAAATTTTAAAACCTAAAAAAGGAAAGGGGCTTTCAAACTACCTAACTCACATTTAAAGCAAAGTAGATGTAGAATGTGACTTAATTTGGGAAACAAGTTTATATTTAAGTATTAATTTGTATGTATTTCAGTTGCTGTCAATGACGAAGTGCAAAAATCCGTACATTTGCATGTATGCATGTGGTTATGATATGTGTTGGTTCTGCGGCGTTCTATGGTCAATCACCCCCTGCATTAATCGATTCATTGCGAAATAGCGGATTATTGCTTCATGCAATCTAATTTGCTCGCAAAACAACAACATTTGAAACGTGAACGGTTTGCCTTGCGGTTTTGTGGCTTCGGGATATACACACATCTCTTAAGTACACATAAGAAAATACCTTGCACGAAAAATTCAATTCTGCAATAGAGTGTCAATTGATCATGCTTCATTGTCGCGATTTTGTTATTGTCATTGAACGGTGGAATTCCCAACAAAAAATGACAATCGAAAAGCTTTTGTTAACTCACCATGCATGGTGAAAAGTAAAAATAGCTGGTCAACGTTAATAGCATGTGATGTGCGTCCCAAAGTTATAACAAAAATTTTACGCCTGTAAGATTATAGGTCTTTCCACTACTATAAAGGACTATCGAATTGTGGTGTTATTAGCTGAAAAACAAAAATGATAATAATTTCCTACAAGGCATGCGTAACGCTATTTTGTTGTCCACAAACCGCGCAACAGTTTTAGCTACAATTTAACTAATCTAAATTAGCTTGCGGTCACTTTACACATATTTCGTGAATTTTAAATTTCTCTTAGTTTTGCGTGTGTTGGTTTATATTTTGTTACCTATGTACATAAGTAACGATTAAAAGATTTAAATTTTGCTAAAAATGCATTATTCGATTTAATGTGAAACGTAAAAAAGATAAGCTCTTTCTAGTGTTAATTTGCAGGGTCGCACCGGGTTGGAAAGTAGCATGGAAAGGATACACTACTATACCCGCTAATATTTGCCTACCAGTTATAACAAAATATTTTAAATCAAGGCTTATTTTAAAGTGTCCGGAATGAAAAGTGAGACGCTGGCAGGGGTTTCCTATGTTGAGCAGCAGAGCCACCAGTTAAGAGTTGACATTGCTGCGTATCTTCTAAAGGTAGAGAGACTTGTGGCCGCTACAACAATCTTCTCAGAAGCTGTAGAGACAAAGGAAAGCCTCGAATCTTAAGCCAACCGCCAGCAAGAATGAATGAGAAAAAAATAAAAA